GAAGGGGAAAATATACATAGATGATCTAGAAGTCTCAAAAACAGAAAACTGAATGCAACCAAGATTGCAATGGCAGAAACATTCGTCTCAGTCTTTCAGGAACCGGTGGGTGATGTCACAGCAGCTTTCATTTTGTATACTGTCTATGGTTAGCACGTAATGAAGTTGTAAAGTTGTAGTAAAGCTGGTGTTATGTTAACAGCAGGGAATAGTTGTTTCTGGCCTGGAAGGAGTTTTGTTCTTGTCATTTTGTGCAGTAAAACTAAAAGCAAACCTTATGTCGTATACACCCTATAGAGTCTAGACAACACCGCCTCCAGTGAGGGAACCAGTGAGGAAAGTTTTGAAAGCCTTATTGTGTCTGATATAGCAGAAAAAATAATTCTGTCTGAGTGCTCTTCAGCCTGAAAGGCCTTGCTGTCTCACTTACCGTGCACTCTGCCAAGAACCAGCGACCTTATGCCATTGAATTCTACACCAGATGTCAAGTTGAAGTCCTCTTTGGGATTCTGGTCAATCTGACAGAAAATAAAAGGTTTCCCTTCAAAACGGGCTTTAAAATAAACGCCAACACTTGAATAGTTAGTAAGTACTTTGGTATATACAACAAATGATATAATGTAAATACTGATTTTCAGAGAGGTTTTCTCTGATAAACCTCCTGTCTGTTGCTTTTTCTGCTGACAGAGGCTGACTTATTGTTTATTATTGACTAAGAAGACGGGTTGAGTGCTTTTTGTTTGCACGTGTGTGTTACCTGCATAGAGACAACGTCTGCCAGTCGACTGATGGTAATAACATGCAGCTGTCGGTCGGCGAGGTTCTTCACTTTGCTCCTCAGTATCTCTGCATCTTTGCTGCTGTCCAGTCTGTACCTCACCTCTAGCTTATCTGTGGTTAACAACAGCACAGTAAACTGCTATATTTCTGTGTGGCACAAAAGACAGGACTGAATAACATTGAATACATGTTTAAATGGGAAGTTTCAAAAGCTCCTGTAGTTGAAGAAAATATTGTCTAAAATCACCTTACATCAAAGACATTTTTCTCCGATTATATTCAAAAAATAAAGCTTTCATTGCCACCATGCATCTTTCCCCTTTGCCATCTCTGTCCATTGTCCATTCATTGTAAGCCTCGTGTTAGATATTAAAACACCAAATTAAGTATTGGAATTCCTTCATACCAATTGATTTTTTTGTAGGTGGCTGGTGTGGATCTCATGCATATTCTAGACTATGTGATGCTTATTTTCAAGAGCATGCTGAACTTTATAAGGTGAAGAGGAAATAAAAACATATTGCTTAACCTCCTAGGACCTGGCGTCAACATATGTAGACATCACATTTTGGGTTGTCTAGACCCAAAAAAACAAATTTTGCCCCACAAGGGCCTGATATCCACTTACGAGGACATTATACTGCCACTGTTCTTTTGAAATTTTAAATGAATGTCCTCATATGTGGATCATTTTTGATCCACATATGAGGATATGTGGATCCTTATATGTGGATCAGGTAAAAAAAATAAAAATCAGGCAATTCTTTGTTTTCACATTCATTAGCTCCCAATCAGCCCAAATAGCAAAGAGAAATTAAAAATGCGTGCCATGAAAGAGTTCCAGTCTTAGGAGGTTAATATGAAACAAAAACAGCCAAGATTTACATTTTCTGTTTTCAAACTCACACACCTCTGTCAATATGCACAGTTTACCTTTTCAACTTTACTGTGAGTGTTATTAGTAACTTCATTTATATAATAGTGTGCTTTCATTGTAGGATTGTTTATATGATCCTCTGTTGCTTTTTTGCTTTGAACGTTATTCGAACCATCTTTCTGGAAACTCACATTTCCTTTCCTCCACTTATGTGTTAATGAAAATTGCACTTCTTCCTTAGAAAAGTCTCAATTGCATTATCTAATAACTTGAGGTGTAAATGTGTCTACATCCAGTAAATAGTTTTCGTCATGTCTCAAAACTGTTTATGTTGTTTCTGCCTGATCTCATCCACTCATCAACCTGTTGCATATATAATGTGGTCGTGTCATTTACTCTCCCCTTGATTTTGCTATCAGTGTGGTATTAAGCAATGGTTACATCCTTTTTGCACATACTCTTTCTTACTCTGTAATGTTGCTGTCAATTTATTGATATTTATTTATAATCACATC